CACTCATCTGTTTTAGTGCCCATCCTCACTCACTTTACCTTTTCCTTTTTTTCATCCTTCTTGCCTGTCTTCCTTCCTTCCTTCCTTCCTTCCTTCCTTCCTTCCTTCCTTCCTTTCTTAACCCTTTCTTCCCTTTGTTCTGTCATTCCTAACTTTCCCTTTCTTTCTTGTGTACTTCAATCATCTATTTCCTTCCTCCATTTCCTGCTTGTGTGTTCCTTTCTTCCACTATCTCTTATTCCCTCAAAGCAGAAATAAAAAAAAATTAAAAAAAATCGAGCTAAAAGTAAATAACATTTTTTGTGAAATGTATATTGCACTTGATGTGAGTAGGTAAGTAAAAATATGTGCCAAAAAAAAGGAGATTTTTGCCTTTTAAATAAGACATAAAAACATGTGCTACCTTTTTCTAAAATGTGTTGGTGTGTGTTGGTAAAAATCAGCCCATTTTAGAAATATCCAGATATTTTTGTCTCTCCTGCACAAATGAAGGGCTTATTTCTGGAAAATATTATCTATTATTTTGGATCAATTCCCTTATAGTCTCTGTCATGTGGCTACCAGGTAAAGATGTGCAGAAATGTTTACCATCCTGTCAGGGTCAATCTTTGCATTTATCCTGGAAAAAGTCTGATTAGTAAAGAAAACTCTAAGAAAAATATGTGCAGAGAAAAGTCTGCAACATGTAAGAATCGCTTCCTGTCCAGCCCTTCTCCTCCACAACAACAATATGAAAAGAAAAACATGGTTCCAAGAGTAATTAACCATGAGAGATGCAACAAAGAAAACTGTTCATCTGTTTACTTACTGCTGGTCATGTGAGAAACTTTCTCCAGCTTCTTTAGGACTGAATCCATGCGAGATGACGTCTGGTCCATCTCATCTCCAAAATCCCCCAACATGCTGGAGATAAAAATAGAGACCAGATACCTCAACTGGACCATATGCCATCAAACTGATATGCAGTTTATATACCCTTCCTTTAAAAACAGAGAAAAAAATCAGCTGCCAGTAAATAAATTGAAAAAAATAAATATTTGGAGATCATGACACCGATTTTGAGTATATTTATAAACATATTAATAAAGTAAGCAAACAGGCCTGGTGGAGCTTCTGAAGTAAAATGCTGAGCAACAATTTGAGGCGATCAAAAATGGAAATGTCCAGTCAGATTTCTGCACCTTTACGTTCATTTATGTGAGAGTTTGTTTTAAATCTATATTTCTTTTGACTAAATCTATCATTTAGTTCATTTTTATTTATTACAACTTTTTTCAGCTTTGTGTTATTTTAATTACTAGAATGAATTGATAATTTTCTTTAATGGGAGGATGTGTAAACTTTCAAGCAAAACTGATTAAAGAAAAAAAAACATCCTTTTATAAATACACAGAGAAAGGAAGTGAGTGTGTATGGGTGGGTTGGATCTTAAAAACTCAAATCTACATTGATGGACAGTCAGTGTGAAAGTTATTACATGTTTATGACAAGGCTGCTATTTTATCCTTTCTGAGTTCATTTCTGTCCATCATAGATTGTGTTAATTTAGAAAACATTGGCAATCTTTTGGAAAAATAATTTCACCAATGTAAGAAACTGCACCTGTTTTTATATATAGAAACACTTCTGCATAAAAAGCTACTGAATTTAATGAAGGTGTTTTTATCTAAATCCCTGTTTTACTACACAATAACGGTTTTAAATAGATGGCTTGGCTTACAATTTACTTATTTATAGCTCTTAAAGAGAAAATCAATCTGCTGAATGAAATTCTTGTAGAAAATGTGGAAAGAACTTTGATTCTTGTAGCCAACCACTGCAGCATTTAGTTTGACATCTTTCACCTCTTCCTTAAATGCAGTATAAATATCAGATTATTTTAAGGGCCAAAATACCCATTTAGGATACATATATCTCATTATGTTCCAAAATAAAGGATCTTTTATTCAAAGAAAAATAACAAAAATAAATATATTAGCAATGTGTTTACTACTCTACCTTAAATACATATCAACAACAAGAAAAAGAACCTCATTGGGAACAAAACGGGTTTTAACAGATCACTACTGGCTAATATTTGCTGACATTTATTTGACATTAAAGAAAACTAAAGAATAAAGGCTCAGTTGAGGAAATTTAAATGGTTTGAATTCTCTCAGCATGAGTTACTCACACAGCCTGCTCGTCTAGCTCGTCTCCGATACGTCCAGACATGTCTTTAAGGACTCTGATGCTTCCCGACACCAACTCCAGCTGCTCATCTTGCTCATGCATGATCAGCTGCACAGACAAACAGACATGTTTCACTTCCATCGCTGACTAACATCTGATCTCAGGATGTTTCCTTTAGCAACCTCCAAAAATCCTCCATAACTATCAATTAGGAACAGTAACATTTTTCCACATTGGATTTCTTTTTCCCCCTTAGTGATGTAAACTGGGTTATGTTCCAACTTATCTTATATTGACAGACTATTAAATGTTAATCCCGATACTGCCCAACATTTCTACAGAGTAACTGGACCGATCTGAATCGTCGCTGTAGCAGGATGCTTTCCATCACAAGGTTGTTGTTTCTTTATTAATAAGGTTTCCTGTACAGGCTTTTACAGTAAAATAAATTGTTCAGAAGAATCTAAGTTACTCATAAATTGCATAAAAATGTATTAAAACAAAATGATCAACAGCATACGTCACATCCAGGAGAATTATAAAGAAATGAGGCAGAACACAGGCTGATATTTCCTTTAACATGAACAAACAATAAAGATCAAGAGTTGTGTCAGTGTCCCCGTACCAACGTTGCTTCAGTTCAGTGGGCTTTATGGCCAAATCTACTCATTATACCCTGACAGATATCATTTAGAAACAAATATGTTTTATGTATATTCTCTAAAACAAGGCCTGTCAACAGAAATTACAGAAATTGCCGTCTCTAAAATCTTTAGAAAGTTGTGTGAAGGTGAAAATGGCAGCTTGGAACAAACATTTTTAACAGAAAGTTCTTTAGTGGAATCATAACAGTCCAAAGCGATTTATAAAAACCTTTGGGGGGGAGGGGGTTTCAACGCGGAAGCTGATGAAAAAAAAAAAATAAATTTCTGGAGACCACAGTGGTTTAGAGTGAAATAATACATTGGACAAAATCTAAATCTATACAAGTCATTTTTTCTTAAAATAAGTGCATTTGTTCTTGGATTGAGGAGGTAAAAGAAACATTTTTCCAATGGATAAAGTAAAAATACACCTAAAATAAGAAAAAGACAATTGCATTGTCTTTTTTCAAGTGCATATTATCTAATTATCTTATTTTAAGAGTAAAAACACTCATTCCATTGGAAAACTCTTATTTACCTGTTCAAATTAAGGGTAAATACTTTTATTTTAAGAAATTTGTACTTATTTCTAGGTCGTTTTTCCAGTGTAGCTTTTCTTTTAAAGAAACAAACAAGCTTAACCAGCTGATCCTGTGTTATTATCAGTCATAACTGGAAACAACTAATGAATTGTGTTATTTTAAAGTTGTTATTCATTCGTTTTTATATTTTCCCCCAGTTTAGCAAATAATTTAAAAAAAAGCTAATTTTCAAATACTTACATGGAGGTGAACTTTAAAATTAAAAATACACTTTTTGAAAATGTAATTTTTAAAAATTTGGTTAAAGCATTTGCACTTTAAATCCATGTAATTAAAAGTCATAAGGTAAACTAAAGACAAAAAAATTTTATTTTATACCTTAGAGCTAGGGTAACCAATTAAAAATCAAGGGGTCTGAATAAAGAAAATCATCAACCACTAAAGGTCTGGAGACATTTCTAATGATCTGTTACTTAAAATAGAATTTAACACTGAAGTAAAATTAGGTGTTATTCATCCATGTTATACATTGAATTAAAAAAAAAAAGAAAGAGAGAATTCTTCCATTTTATAATCTAAAGTGTTTTTTGAAGTAGAGAACAACAATCTTTCAGTTTGGTATACAGACAATTTCCTGATTCATATATTTTATAAAACACCTGAAATGACCATTTGTTGTTTTCTTTCTTTTTTATGGCTTAATGAGAGCAGTGGGCTTTAGGCTGCCCTGCAAGGCTTTAGACCTGGGTTTAAATGGAGACAAAGCCATTATAACGTACATATCAATGTGCTCATTTGGTGCCTGGATCCATATTTATTTTTTGATTCTATTCATGGTGGAGAATCCTGCTTCACAGCAGCAGGTTGGGCCAAACATACTCTAAATGATCAGGCTCCGCTCCGGTCCGGCCAGGTCAAGATCCGCGATTGCAATCGCACCAAACAGGGAAAAACAACGGCAAGAAGATCCAGTTCATCAAATTAAAATAAAGTAACAACAGATCGTCAACTACAAATTAGAGCATAATTCTTATATATTTAAAAAAACTAACACCGTTTATTTACAAGATTGGATGCAAACTATTGGTACTTCAACAGACCAGGAAGCAGATTTCTCATCTCCATCAAACTGCACATATGCTGGATGCTGATGGGGATTTTTTAATATGTCATATTAAATTAAGCGTTCATTTCTGCCTGTTTTGCTCCTATGAATTTAATACTAATATCACGCATGCTCTCCTCAAGCTCTGAGGATAAGTCAGAGAGCAGCAATACAGGAGGAACAGTGGAGGCTGTAGGCTATCTTTGTGCAGGAGGTCTGGAGCGCTGCGGGGCGGAGCGGTGACAGAGGATGTGGGATTTCGGGGTAACAGGAGAAGCGGCGCAAGTGACTTTAGACTCTGTCATCAGACAACATGCGGTAATTCATAAATGCTTTAAATCAGGTTGGGTCTAAGATGATGATGTCTGTAGCTTCAAAAAAAATATTTTTAGTTTAACTTAATTTTCTTTGTAACCTATACAAAATGAACGGTTGAAGAGATTTCGACTTGTAAAAATGTTTGAAAGGCTGTCATTACCCCAAATTTTACTTTCACTTGTCCTTGAACTTTGTTGCCTTCCTTTGAAACCCTACCCCATATAATTGTGGGGGCAGTTTCACAATTACACGGAAATGCAATCATAAAACTGTGATTTCCAGCTTCACAATTGCTCCTTATTTATTTATTTCTTTTACCTGCTGCTGCTCTTGCTGCTCCTGGATGTACCTAGAGTTGGCCGACACCAGGTGAGCCTCCAGTCCAGTTGACCGGTCCTGCTCCTTTANAAGGTTGTTGTTTCTTTATTAATAAGGTTTCCTGTACAGGCTTTTACAGTAAAATAAATTGTTCAGAAGAATCTAAGTTACTCATAAAATGGCATAAAAATGTATTAAAACAAAAAGATCAACAGCATACGCCACATCCAGGAGAATTATAAAGAAATGAGGCAGAACACAGGCTGATATTTCCTTTAGCATGAACAAACGATAAAGAACAAGAGTTTTTCCAGTGTAGCTTTTTATTTCAAAGAAACAAACCAACTTAACCAGCTGATCCTGGGTTATTATCAGTCATAACTGGAAACAACTAAATACTGAATAAAGAACAACAGAAATTTGTATTGATCTGTTACTTTAAACAGAATTTAACACTGAAGTAAAATTAGGTGTTTATGCATCCATGTTATACATTTAACTTTTAAATAAAAAAAAAAAAAAGAAAATTTCTCCACTTTATAATCTAAAGTGTTTTTTGAAGTAGAGAACAACAATCTTTCAGTTTGGTATATAGACAATTTCCTGATTCACATATGTTATAAAACACCTGTACTGACTTATTTTTCTTTTTTCTGGCTTAATGAGAGCAGTGGGCTTTATGCTGCCCTGCAAGGCTTTAAACCTGGTTTTGAATGGAGACAAAGCCATTCTAAAGCACATATCAAGGTGCTCATTTTGAGCCTGGATCCATATTTATTTTTTATTCTGTTCATGGTGGAGAATCCTGCTTCACAGCAGCAGGTTGAGCCAAACATTCTCTAAATGATCAGGCTCCGGTCTGGCCAGGTTAAGATTCACTATTGCAATCGCATCAAACAGGGAAAAGAATGGCGAGAAAATCCACTTTGTCAAATTAAAATATAATAACAACAGATCGGTAACTACAAATTAGAGCATAATTTTTATATATTTCAAAAAACTAAAACTGTTTATTTACAAGATTGGATGCAAACTATTGGTACTTCAACAGACCAGGAAGCAGATTTCTCATCTCCATCAGAAACCGCACATATGCTGGATGCTGATGGGGATTTTTTTTTTTTATATATCATATTAAATTAAGCGTTCATTTCTGCATGTTTTGCTCCTACGAATTTAATATTGCACATGCTCTCCTCGAGCTCTGAGAATAAGTCGGAGGGCAGCAATACGGAAGGAACAGTGGAGGCTGTAGGCTTTGCTTTGTGCAGTAGGTCTGGAGCACTGTGGGATTTCGGGGTAACAGGAGAAGCGGCACAAGTGACGTTTAGACACTGTCGTCAGACAACATGGGATAATTTATAAATGTTTTACATCAGGTTGGGTCCGGATTAGCCAGCAGGTGGGTCCGGATCCGGACTGCGGTCCACTAATCCATGACCTCTGCCTTAGAGCATAAACGGCTCCAAGATGATGATGTCTGCACCTTCCAAAAAATACTTTTAGTTTAACTTAATTTTCTTTGTAACCTATACAAAATGAGCGGTTGAAGAGATGGTGGTTTGTAAAAATGTTAGACTTTTTTCATTAATTTCAGTAATTTGTCATTACCCAAATTTTCCTTTCACTGATCCTTGAACTTTGTTGCCTTCCTTTGAAACCCTGCCCCATGGGGGCAGTTTCACAATTACACGCAAATGCAATCATGAAACTTCACAATTGCGCCTTTTTTTTTACCTGCTGCTGCTCTTGCTGCTCCTGGATGTACCTAGAGTTGGCCGACACCAGGTGAGCCTCCAGTCCAGTTGACCGGTCCTGCTCCTTTAAAGCCAGCAGGCCAGGATGAACACGCAAACACATGTAAGATCCAAATACATAAATAACATGAGTGCATCTTAGAAGGTACAGAAAACACAGCCATGCTGTTGTTATTCATTGCTTACAGAGAGCACTGACCTGCCTGCTCTTCTTTTCTGTCTGAGCCACAGCAGATGGCCTGGACAACTGATCTTTCATCTCCTGCAAAGAAACATTTCAAATAGCAACATTTAAAAAAGTTATCTCAGCTTACAGAGCTTCATCAAGATCATTTTTATGATGTCCACCTAAAATCAGTGGGCTAGTAAAAATCTTAGAAATATTTTTATTCCCATCAGCAAATTTCTCAAATGACCTAGTTCCATCAGAACCTTTAGAAATGCTATCTTAACTTGTAAGTGGTGCTAAAAACTGACTAATTTTAGTGTGTGTAAAACTTAAACAAAGATTTTCTTTGGTGAAGAGTTTCTCAACAGCTGTGAAAACAAATCTAGTGACGTGCATCATAACCAGGCCTGCTTGTTGTATAAACAGTCAGTGCACAGTGTGCAGGGCAGCCTACCGCGCCAACGCTGTGTGTTTAATCAGTAACACCTCTGTGGTCAAACTGCACCAGACTTTGTGCAGTAATCTATTCTGTAGGTGAGGAGCTCCTTTAAAACTAAACACCTTTGACCAAGAGACAAAGTTTGGACATACATGTAAAATCAAATGAAAAAGACAAAAAAAAAAAAATCTATCCTTTGTTTAATACATGATTTATCAGGTTAGTTTAATGAACACTCAGATAATATTAAAGTAATAAAAAACATTTTACTAATGCTTTTCCTGTATGACATAAATTATATTATAACTTTTTCATCTAAAACTGTTTAAGATTTATTGGGTTTTACATTTTTTTTCCCCAAGACATCCATTTCCTGACACATTTCTGTCTTTTTAAAGCTCATTTTAAAGTAATACTAAAACTCCATGATTAACTCATGGCCAGAAAAGATCTACATGAACAGATGGATACAAAGCATCCACCAACACAGCCGTGACTGGGATAAACAACCAGATCAAAAATCCCACAATGATTCACCTTGTTTTGGAAGGTCTATGATCATCCCATTAGAATTAGAACAATTAAAGTGGTTTTACATTCATGAATTTCTAAGAAATGGTTTTAACAAAAAAGTAAAATAGCGTAATGTCAAGTTTTTTGTTTTTTTTTAAACAGTAACTTCATTCATTAGTATAACTGATCATGTAGAGAACCCTGAATGCTGATGGTTATAATGCTGCTCAAACTAAAGTAAATCTGCAGCAGTGAACCGACCTGAACGGACTTCCTGGTTCGTTCCACAAAGTTTCTCCTCTCCTGAAGTTCATTGTCGCCCAGCTTGAACTTCCCTGGGTTTGACTCCACAATGCCTGACCCAGTTAAGGACCCAACAGAAGTACTGAAGTGTAGAAATACTAAAATCCAGAATTCCTCCAGGTGCCTAAACGAGCTGATATATTAGTGGGTAAATATATAAACATTTTTAAAAGCAGACAATGTAATTATTCTGTTATTAAAAAACAATAAACTGCATATTTAGAAAACAGTTGCAATGACTTCCTTATTAAATACGTTGTTCCTAGGTATTGTTGTACTTACTGCCTTATTTGGCATATTCTTTCAAATGAATAACTTGACTTTCGTAATTCAGATCTTTGATTTAACTTTACATACAAATTAAATAAACATAACTAGGTTTTAGGGCTGCAACTAACGATTATTTTGCAAATCGATTTATCTGTCGATTATTTTTTCAATTAATCGATTAATAATCGGATAGCCAATCGTTCCTTAAAGAAGACTTTTTGCAAAAGTAAACTAGGTAAAACTAAAACTTTTCCACTTGAGGAGTTCAGGATAGAGCATATTGACAGACGAAAAAGTATTTTTATCTTAAATGCAAAATGTTTACATATTTTTGATACAATTTTGGTCAATTTGATGGGTTGCTCTGTCAGCTAAAGGCCCGTTTTAGAGTCTCTTTACTCCAGTTAACAATCAATCGATTACTAAACTAGTTGTTGTTTACTTAAATAATCGATTAATCCGATTGTTTCAGCTGTACCAGTTTTAAACGAAACTGATAGAAACATTGATGTTCTACAAAACCAAGTTCACTGTGAACATCATTGCGTCAGTCTGGATTTAAAGGATACTGATCGTTTCACTGAGGTCCTCCAGGTCCCAGTCGATGGCTCGCAAACAGTTCCTGAGCTCATTGGCGCTCCAGTCCAGCTCATCTCGACTAACCTGAACCAACAGACACAAACAAACACTCACCAACCAAACAATATTTAATCACAGGCCGTCTGCTTTAATAACAACATCTGTTGCTTAGAGATTTAGTGCTAAATGATGACTGCATCAGTAGACTTTTACATTGTGTCTGCTTCTCAAAGGTTAGTTTGAAGTCGTCTGACCATATCTTAGTTGTGGCTGATGGTGGTAAAAAAAACAAAGAGCAGACGGTCAGATAGTTGTTTATTGAAGTGATACTGAAAACTGATGAAAACATGGTTTTAAAAAAAACTAAAATCATATTCTTATCCCTCACAGTAGCATGCAAAAGTGGATCTAGGTATTTTAGAGGTTTTATGTTACATATATGTTATACAGAAACCCAAATTACTTAATTAAATGATTTGACCCTGATTTAAACAAATAAAAGCTAAAAATCTGGCTGTTTTGCACTTGCATCCACACAATCCAAAGCAATCCCTGGTTTCAAGGATAAAAGATAATACTATCAGAATGATTCCTGTTTGGGTGTAATTAAATCTAAAGATGCTTTTCAGTGAAAATATCAAGGGTTTGTTTGGGAAAGCCAGTGAATAATCAGCCTCCTTAAGACAAGGAAACCCTGCAAGAAGTTCAAGGATAAGCACAATTACAACAACTGATAAGTAATTGTGCTAAAGTTGGTTCTCTAAGACATTAATTTCAGAGTGTAAGTTGAAAAAGACAAATGAGAAAAATGTGTATGAAGATTTTAGCAAGGGACACAATTTCTTTGAGTTTCCTATCTGCAAAAAAACAACAACAAAACAACAAGAATTAAGGTTTAATTGTTCGTCATTGCTCATTTTATGAAAATAGTGACTTTGTGCATTAATCAATACTCCATTTGAGGATTTCTGAGCATATAAAACACCAGCCCATCCCACTGAGTCTGCAGTGAATGAGTGTGTTATCTTTAGAAGTGTGGCTGTCAAATATCTACCAACAAGAACATCCAGAGCTCACCTGTGTGCCCTCTTGTAACAGTTCCTCCCATCTATCAAACAGACCCCGAGCACGAGAGAGGGCCTTCTGCACCTCCCTGGAAACCAAAAACACATCAAACAAACATTACAGTGCGGAACCTAGCAGCTGATTAACTGCACCTTTCAGAGACACTTGGCTGGGCGTCCAGATTCGCCTGCAGCTAAATCACATCTCTAAGCTCCTTCAGAGCAGCCAGACCAATTTCATTTAAAGACAAGTGAAACCAAATCAAGATTTTTCAAGGCATGTTTTTATTAATATTAAAACTAACAAACATATAATAATAATAATCCCTGCGTCCTACTGTTTATACATGCTAGCTAGCTACAGCTATCCGCATAGCTAACTCTTCTGGCAGAACTCCATTAAAAGTAACACAGCAATAATCGTGTGGTTGACAATTGATAACGGTATATGTTTATAGCTAAAGCTTTCAAAGTAAAAATGGGCTTTTCGGTTTCTTTTTGTTTATTCCTCACCCCTTTACAACGAAAAACGGATCCTCTATCGACATTGCTTCCTTTCTCTGTAAGCCTAACTAGCGCGTGCGCATGCGCAATGTTGACGCCCACGCAGACGTCCCCCTGACACGTCAGTGGAAATTACTCCCACCTCCGAAGCAAAGTGATATGTACCGAAGAGGATTAGGGCCACTGAAAAAATTAAAAAAGTCAACTGATTTTAAAATTTTATTTCAGTAAAATATGAGAAAAAAGTCAGAATTCTGACTTTAATCTCAGAATTCTGACTTTTTTTCCACAGAATTCTGACTTTAATTTCAGAATTCTGACTTTAATCTTAGAATTCTGCCTTTTTTCTCAGGATTCCAACTTTTTTCTCAGAATTCTGATTTTAATCTCAGGATTCTGACTTTAATCTCAAAATTATGACTCTTTTCTCTCAGAATTCTGACTTTAATATCAGAATTCTGAATTTTTTCTCAGAATTCTGACTTTAATCTCAGAATCTTGACTTTAATCTCAAAATTCTGACTTTTTTCTCAGAATTCTGACTGAATTCTCGCAGCTAGCAAACATGTTAGAATCAATCCGTAGATATGTCTGTTGTAGAGACTAAACTAGCTCTCTTGTTTTAATCACCTTCTGCCTTCCAGTAATGAAATAGCATCACCAGGGACCCCTCTGGCATGTAAAAAGTCGTCTAATTCCATCATTTTCCACCACTGTGTTACTGGCCCTCCCAAACAACTCACATCTTTGTCAGTGAGGCTAAGCGCTCCCACATTTCCTCCTTCGTGGTGCCCATCTACATTAAGATCCAAAATTCTGAGACTTAAGTCAGAATTCGGAGATTAAAGTCAGAGTTCTGAGAAAAAAAGTCAGAATTCTGAGATAAAAGTCAGAATTCTGAGGAAAAAGTCAGAATTCTTTTTTTCTTCCATATTAAACTGAAATAATATTTAAAAATCAGTTAACTTTTTTTTTTCTTTTTTAGTGGCCCTAATCATCTTCCGTAGATATATGAGCGTAGGTTCACAAAGGTTTATAGAGCCTCTCTTGGCTTTAGCAAATACTTTGACAAAAACCACGTTAAAAGCTGCAGTGGCAGCAAGAAGACAAACTTAAATGTATTAAAATTTCAAATAAAAAGAAAAAGAAAAAAGTAATGCAGCAGTAGTAGTCTTGTATGAGTCTATTTTTTAACCTCTAAAACTGTTTTTTTTTTTTTTTTTTGTCTGATTGTTTATTATATATACTTTCCATTAAATAACTTTTTCTTTGTACTTCTTTTCCTTTTGGCACAGGGG